TGCAGGGGGCCCCTGCATCCGGCTGCTCACCCCTCCGCTCCCGGCTGCTGGCAGCTTCTTCGGAGCGAGGGGCCCCAAAACTGTTGCAGAGGGCCCCCCAAAATTGCGGGCCGGCCCTGTTCATTTGTCTGGCTTTTGATGTCTTTGGTTACTTCTTGCTGGTTTTTCCCAGTTTTAATGCAGGGTTTTTACAGCTGACCTATACAGAATGTATGACTAGGTTGATTGTGTGCTGTCTTACAAACATAAATGTGGGCAAGCAGTATCACTTACATGTATGTAAGTGGGATCAGGCCCTAAATAAATTCCTTCTAAATGCTGCTGAGGTAGAGTTCGCAGTTAAGCTGACATATAGAATTAGTAATGAACTGTCACCTTAAACTGTTCCTTTTGTTGATTTTTAGGGTTTGATCCAGTATTAAGGTTCATTAAAACATGTGAATATGTGCATAACTCTAGCATGTGCATATAAAGCAGGACTACTCATACTTAAGTTTATGCACATGCATTGCAAGGTAAAGGCCTGTCGTGTGCAGAAGGAAGTGTTGGCCAGCGGACTGGCCCTAGATCTTGCAGTTGGAAGATCTGATTCTTGTTCTGGCTGTTTCATTGCCCTGTGCAACCTTGGGCAAGTTGTCTTAACTCTCTGCCCCTCAGTTTCCTGGTCTGTAGAATGGGGATGCTGCTGGGTAACTACATTTTTAAAAATGCCCCCAGATCTATGAATGGAAATAACAAGAATAAGAGGAAGCAGTATGGTTTATACTTTCAGCACGGTTCATTTTTCCTAAATAAAGATGCATATTTCTTGTGGACATAGCAGATGTTCCTTGGGGGGCGGGAATCTATTTTAGAGTGGAAATGTAGAGTTTAGCACACAGTAGCTGGACTTAAAGTATGCTGAGACTGAAAACCCAAAGTTAAATCTATGCCCTTTTCTCATCTCTGTGATGGAGAAAGAAAGCCTGAAGGAGTTTTGTTTAAAAATTTTTTTTTTTTTGGTTTTGTGTTTCTTCTCATATTTAGGAGTTTTTTCTGGCTGTTTTTACATTAAACATCCTGTCTCCCCTTGGAAGTCATTTGTATATGCAACTGGTAGAATTGTCATCAAAGGTACCAGGAAAAAACTGATGGAGACAGGAAATGATTTTTTTTATACAGTTTTTTAAATACTTTTGTTGTTGTTGCTATTTTTAAAACTTAGCGCACAGGAATAGGAGAAAAAGAGCTTCTTCTCCTTGATCTCACGTATTCAGGCATGAAAAACATGTAGTTAACATTAACATCTCCAGTGAGGTCTTTAGCAAAATCACAACTGACTTTTGTAATGTATTGAAAGTCGAGACAGAAACTTCCCCTCCCCCAAACAATCCCTTTCCCTTGTTTACCTGTCTTAATGGAGCCAAAGCCTCGCAGCCCACTTGTTTCCTTTATGGGTCACCTTTTGATTTAGAAAAACAAAACAAACCAAAATAAAAACCTAGAACTGAAGGTGTCAAGGTAACAGGCATTCAGCTGGAAACAAACAGATTGTTAATATGCAGCTCTGAAGTATCCATAGTTGAGGAATGAATAAATATTTGAATGCTTGCTGGAGATAAGCGTGCAGAAAAGTGACTTCTGCCTAGCAGTGCTGGCAGTGTCACTGTGCCAGCTGAAAAGGAACCAGGAGAGATACCTTTACAGAAAGAGTAGATGGCTGGTGGTGCCAGGTAAAAAGGAAAGTAATTACTTGGCTGTTTGAAAATGAAAACAAGTCCCCCATTAGCAACTGTCTGTGAAACAAAGGAAGAGTCCTAGTCTGATGACAGGCCTTTTCATCTCTCTACACAGAACGTGACAAGTCTCATATGATCCCCTTTTTTGAGAACATACTTAATTTTTAATTTGATACTTGCACTAAAATAGGAACAGCTTCTTGAAATATTATAAAATATCTATGTAAAGAAGAGGGAGTTTTGGCCCATGCCGAGAAAAATGCTTAATTTACTGTCTGGTGACTGGGCTAATGCTGATGTCTAATAAAAATTAATTCCAACTTCTCACCTAATACAATACAAGGCACAGGAGGGTTTTGTTTAGATAAAAGACTTTCATGTCTTTTTGCCATCCTAGGATCCAGTCTTGCACCACTGAAGTCATCGTGAACTTGCTTCAAGGAGTACAAGATCAGAGCCATAGTGGGCTATGTAAGCTGGTTGCAAAAGACAGTGAAATCGTGGCCTCATTGAAGTTAATGGCCAAATTTGTACTGGTTCAATTGGCTAGGGAGAGAAATTACACAGAAACCAGTGTATCTGGTTGGAAATTAGTTCAAATCTGTAACACAGCAGAAGTTCAGCGCACATTAACTGCTTTCAAAATGATCAAAGCTGGTTTAAGCTAAACTTAGATGGCTGTAGTATCAGACTTAACTGATTTAGGTTAAATCAGTTCATAGAACTTCTGTCCCATATCCCCTCTGTTAACTCAGTCCCCCACCATCCCAGGATGCTTTGCACCTTCCCCGCAAACCCTCTTCTCACAGGGTGGCGGGCTAGCCTTGGCCCAAGCTGTCTGCTCCAGCCAGCAGGGAGGTGAGCTCTAGCGCCTCCCAGCTTTTGGCCTGGGCCACTGCAGGCATGGGACTGCATTTCTGGAATCAGAGGTGATTGTCCGTTCGCTTGCTTATCAGTTCAATCTACGCGGTTTAGACTAACCCGTGAAGATTGAATCAGTTCAGCCATGGGTTTTCTGACGGTCTGTTCTTAGCCCTTGTAACTAACGTTATTCGCCAGCCCCCCAGGGCAGTGAGGAGAGCCACTTAAGTCATGGAGCCTCTTCCACGTGTCACGTCATTGGATCTGGAGCTAGAATAAGCAGTGTTGGCTTTTGTGCTGTACCAACCTAAAATTCTGGTCAATTTGATGCAGTCCAACTTTCCCCTGATATACACGATAGTGTATTACACATATATCCTCAGTATCTGGTTATTTCCTGTTTGTTTGTAAGAAGTTGGTAATGTTAGAAACTCTTTTTCATTTAAATAAATGGATGCTGGCTGGCAGGTTCCATGGTTGCCACCTTGGACTAATAAGATTTCAGAAAAATTACAGGCCAAGGTATGTGAAGAGTCTGAGAATTCACAGCTCAGCATGTGGAGGTAGCTAGAGACTCGATTTTATAGCTGCTGAAGAATTGCTTAGTAACCTGCATAACCAGAAGGCAGATATTTTGAAATCCGGAGCTGTCTGCTTGCCAAGGCTCTCGAGCGCATGATCCTTAAGCATGCCAACACTTGAAAAATCAGGACCTTGAGCAGAATTAAGATAAGAAAACTAATACAGAAAACTGAACTGAGGGCTTCTTCACTTTGGCTGATAAATCCAGTTTTAGGATTGGGAGGCGGCAGCAGGATTGTCATTTGTCACATCACTTAAATTCCAAGTCCGATCATCAGTTTTGCACTGTCCATGACATTAACAACCACGGCAATCTCAAATGCATATTTTATCACAGAAAAGAAGCCTTCACACTGAACCATGGATGGGGGGTGATTTTCTTTTGTATTTATGTTTATGATCTTGATTTTTAGTATTTGAATACTTCTCTTGTTAGGGCTACTGCTAAGTATCAGTTAAAATTGTTGTTTCTCTTGCATTTTTCCTATTAAATGCATGGATGGTTGATTTTTATGGTGAATCTCTTCATTTGTTTCTTCTAACATTTGAGTCTGCTTAGAAATGTATGCTGTATAGTCGCATCATTCTATAGTTATTAATTCAAAAGAGGTTTATGATTTTAAATACTGAGGAAAGATTAGGAGTTTAGGGAGCAGCTGATTGTTCAACATTTGGGGAATAGACGGACCTAACAGTTGTTTCCATGTCAAAAGACACCAGTACAAGCTTCTACCAGGCATCTGACACTTCACGTGAGCCTGTAGTGCTGCAAGTGTAGTATAGCCACTCCAGTTTTAACTGTGCTTCATCCAAAGTTAGGGCAGTTTAACTCATTTATATTCGTACAAGATCATAAAGATGTAATATTTAGATTGTAACAGCTGTTGTGGGCTCCCAAGGAGCAGCTTCTTCTCCCTTTTTAAAGTGGCAAAAATGTAGGTTTGTCCATACCCTTAACTGTTCATTTCCCCTCTCTCTGATGCGATGTCAGTTGTTATTTTCTTTCCTTTTTTTTTTTCTTTTTTAATTGTGGTAAGCAACTTTGTTGTGATCAATCTTAACTGGATTTTGATCCCAAATGTTACTTTTCAGAATTTCCCATATGTTTGTTTGTATAGGGAAATGATGACAATTGCTTACAACTTCATATAAAAGAGAGGAGTTAATGTTCATAATATGAGGTCTGTGTTCTGGGTGGGGTTCACTTGTATGGATCTGGTTGCAAGGCTGAAGCCACGTTGTTCAATGTTAAGGCACAGCTACAGCAAACGTGTTTTCCGAAAGTTAGGTTGTGGAGTGGGAATTGTTTTATAAAGTCAGTGCCTTGGCCTGGAGATCCTGATCCTGCCCACATGCGTGCATGTAAATGACTACCCAGGTGACTAGTCTCCCTGCTTTCCAGGCACTACTAGCATGCAAGAGTTGTTCATGCCATTAGACATTGGTCCAGAAGGATTTTCTGTGGGACTGCTTGCCTAAGGAGAGCTCACATAAAGAAAGGCTCAGTGTATTGTGTCCTTACCTTCTCTTTATTCCATGTGGAAATCTGTTATCTTTTTCATTGCACATCACTAAGAAATTTGGAAGGTGTTTTATCTAGTGGTTAGGATGCTGGGAAGCAGTCCAGTGCCTCTCTGTATGACTCTGGGCAATTTGTCACAATTCCCTAGCTGTAAAATAGCAATAATAATGCTTTGCCTGCCTCGCAGGCTGGGAACGGAGGGCTCATCAGGTACTTTCATATCCTTGCGTGAAGTGTGCTGGACTGGTGCAAAGTGTCGCTGTTGTGAAATATTCAGCAACAGTTGGCATGGAATTGCACCGAGTCCCCTTGCAGTGGAGCCACACTCTCCGATGACAGCAGCAAGAGCAGCAGCAGTTTTTTTAAAGCCCTTGCTGCTCTCCATTTCCCTGCCTCCTGCTTGCAGAGCCCACTTCTTCCTTCTGTGAAAACGCAGAGGGAGGGGACCGAAAGCGCCAGGACCCAAGGAACAGAGGCAGCGCCGTTATGCAGCAGGTTATTTTGTTCCCTGACTTCCCTTTCTTCCCCTCCTTAGCAGGGAAGCAGCACGGGGCTTGTTGCTTACTCCTCTCGCTGCCTAGCTGTGTCCCCTAGCCCCTAGTTTCTTGCCTGTCACTGCGGCCTCTTTCTCTCCCACTTCTTCCTTGTTTTGCTACCCCGAGCTGCAGCAGCAGGTGACTGGCCCCCTCCCCACTCGGCAGCTGCTCCTGCTCTTTTGATCCGTGTCAAGATAGGGGGGTCACTTACTCAGTGCAGTGCCTCTTTCTGCTTTCATTCGGATGGCCCTCAAAAGTGGCTTCCCCAGCTTCTCCTGTAAGAGGCTGCAGCTGAAACATCTTCCATCTCACCCCTTCTCCTAAGGAGCCAGATCTCTGTGTGGCCTGATCCAAAGTCCATTGGGGTTGATGGAAAGATTCCTGTTAACTTCAGGCCTTTTATCATTCATCAGTGCTCCTCTCCTGGTATCTAAAGGTGGAGACTTACCTAGGAAACAAAACAGGGAAGCAAAATTCCACCCCCCCCACCCCTTTAAAAAAAAAAGGAAGATTAAAAATCTGTTTAATTCACAGGCTCTGATGAAGCAAGCCCTCTGCTTATGATGGCTTATGCTATACATCCCTGATTTATTGGTCTGTAAAGGTGCAAATCTATACTGCCTTATTGTGAAGTGTAGTCAGCAGTATACTTATGCCGTAAAGGTGCCAGTCTTGTAGATCTTTTTCTGTTCCTAATTACTATGATTTTGTAAAGTTGCATGTGAGGAAGTATGTATGCATTTTGGATGTGTAAGTGACATTAGATGGAAAAATCTCATTGAGTCCCTTCTTATGGACTAGTCATTTTTCCACTTGAAGTCATATGTTTTCCATGTCTAAGTTGTCATTGACAGTATGTCCTATGAGCTGGGAATGATTTCTGTAATATAAGGTGGAGGAGGCTGTATAGGAGTTTTCTAAAGTTACAAATACAATGTCTGTGTTGTTCTCTCCATAAAGTGGGTGCCTTGGAGGTGGATGATGTTGTTTGAGCCCTCGCAGGCTAAGGAGGACCTAGAGTTAGGTCTGCTCCATTTCTGGGTGAAATGCCCTAGTATATGCTCCTTTTCCAGTCTTTGAAAAGGTAAAGGGGAGGTCCAGCTCTGTTCCTGGAAAGGGGAGAGAGGATGTCACGCATCCCTCTGCATAATGCTTCCTATCGCCTAGCTCTAGGTAGCTCCTTCAGTTTGTGGTTTCTTTGGATCTTTGGACCCTTCCCATACATTTTATATGGAGCCAAGGTGCTTAGCCCTGTATTTTTAATTCCATTCAGAGGTGAGGCATATAAAAATAAGGCATTGCAGCACCTAACCTGTAGGCTGCAAGTCTTTTGTTGGTTCTGGCCCCTAGATCCTATGATGATGGATATGGGAACCCAGGACTCTGCAAAATAAGATTACTTCATTGTATAGCTGATGCACCAAATATACGCTTTTATTACTGTAAAATATATATACTAGGATTTGCTAGTATCTCTTCAGAGACTAACTCCAAACTATGTCTGTTTGGCTTATGAACAATCTCAAGGACAGTAACAAAACTGTTTGAAGTTTGAACTCCAAGGCATTTTTCTCAGCTGTGCTGTGAAACACCCTTGCATATTAAATCCACTACCGTTCATCCCAATGGTTTTGTGTGTGTATAGTACTGATTATTTAATTACGGGACCATGTTCACGGGTTAATTTTAACTTCTGTTTTCTCTTTCCCTGTACAGTGTGATAAAGTCAAACAGGAGCGTGATGAAGCAGTCAAAAAACTAGAGGAGTTTCAGAAAAGTAAGTTGATGTTCAAATGAGAATATTAACACTTTAAGTACTAGTATGGCCTTTAGTATTGTGGGGCTATGTTGGGCTTTAGGTTCAGTGCCTGTTTTTCCTTCCTTGCCTTGTTGGAAAGGTCTGTCCCAGCTCCTGGCAAGTTGAATCCTGGCAGAGCAGTCCAGATAGGTGAAATCAGTTGAACTGTATTTAAGGTGTGAAAAGATGAAGGCATAGCAGGCTAAATTCTGTCCTGTGTCATTAGGAAAACCAAGCTAAGTTGTACTGAAATAATATCCACGTGAACCAAGTAGAATTTGGCCCAGTTGTTCAAAGGGAGGGAGTCAGATTGCTAAAAACAGAGACGGCATTTAAGGTTTGTAGTACAAGCTGATGCCTCTTGGCAATTTTAGAACAAGTTGTATTTTCTTTGCTGTGAAAAATGTCAATATCCAGTTTTACACTTTTACGGTAGCAGTTCATCGACATTGTATGGTGTCTAGAAGCACCAAAGCGTGTCTAATGGGAGAGGAAGTATCCTAGTCGAATAGCTTCGCAGAAGAGACGATTACAATGGGACAGGGCTCTGTTCTGTCTGGTTTGTGCTACTGCTACATGATAGAGCATTAGAAATATGAGTAGCAGTAATACAGGACGAGGAAACTGCACGCTGTATTTTTGTGCGACTAAGTTAATGGAGAATTTACACGCCTTTTGTTTTTTTTGCGATTGTTCATAAATGCAATTCTGGAAAATAGCAACCTTTCGGTTCTCAAATATGCTTATATAATCACTCCATGAGGCCAGCACATTCTTACATAAGTCTAATTCCTGTGGAAAAAAACGTAGCCTGTTTGTTTTTGTTATGATACTAGGAATACCAAAGTGTGGCAGAAAATGTCAAGTAGTTAAGGCTTTAAAATTCAAAGTAATATTTGATGTTGTAAAATTTTATAGGTTTCCTTTATCTTCCTTTCACATTTTTAAAGAACATACCTTGTAAACATAGTGATAAAATGCCAGGAATATTAGGATTTTAAGGCAATAATAGAGCCCATTATTTAAACGACAATATAAAAGGCAATTATATTGATGAAGAGCTACATCGGCTTTGTGTCTGTGAATAAACTTGGCCTGTACTCAGCTTCTATTTGTTCTCCTGGCATAAACACATATTGTGTGTGATTCCAGTTTAATGGGGCCCCGTTTGTATGCCAAGCAGCTGCATTTTAGGCCCTATTGCGTGATTTCATAGCTCTCTGAAAATTGGTTCTATTCAGCACAAGAGATAGAAGGTGGTAGTGGGGGGGAAAGCTTCAACACACAATCATTTCTTTTCAATTGGAGCCAGCAAGGTTGATGACAACATGACCATTGTGTTATAATGATAAGACCACTAAGGATCTGTACCTCTCATCAAGGCTTTCACACAACAGCAGATACAATTTAATTCACTGCTCTGTCAGCAGTGCTGATACCATTATGCCGTCTGTCTCCACAGTTATAATCACTGTCCTCTGAGAAATGCAGTTGAAATGATCTTGAGCAGTCAAAGAAACTCTCAATTAAGGCTGCCACTTCCAATGTGTCAGATTGTGTCTTATGCACTTGGTACAATTTTCACTTCCAATCCTGTTTATTTACAATGTCTACCAGTAATTACGCTTAACGTGTCATTTAGTGAGGGTGCCCCTGCCAAGGAGATTGTTGGGTGCTGCAGTACCATTGAGTGGGAGTTTCTCGCAGTCAATGCCATCAGCGGCTTTTAGTCCCTGATGGGATGCAGTAGTAATGTTGATAATGCAAGTATCGTGCTCATCAAGTCATAATTAGATGCCACTCAAATGTGCCACTTGTAATAACAGTGTTGATTCATGTTTTCTCGGTGACTGCAACTACTAATTAGTTAAGTGGTTTTTGGTTGGCCTGCATTTGCTGCAGATTATTATTACCCCTGAAAAAAAACGTCAAGGTTAGAGATGTTTCTGGCCACTTAGTGCTGCTTTATGAATTTTAATTTTGACATAATAAGAACTTTGGACAGACTTAGGAAGTAATATATTTTTGCATTTAATTTGGAGAGAATTTTTTTCCCCCGAGTTAATCATAATTGCAGGTTAATTAAGCTTAAATGAACCAAGAGTAATCCTTAGTTTGTATTATCTGAGCCCAGTCCTTGTTTTCTAACTTTAACTAGCTTTGCACTCAGGATTTTAGGTCCCATCTGTAAAATGGGAATAATCTTACTTTCTCTGAAACTCCTGTTTGAGATGCAATTTAATGATGCAGATGCATTCTCAATTTCTGAGTTCATGGGTTTGTTTGGGGTTTTTTTTACATACATATAATAGACACTTTCTTAAGCTTTTCTCTTTCAAATGTATTTAGTCAAATTCTCTGGTGCCACATAATAGTAGCCAAGGAGGGTTCGCATTAGCTTACAGTTCTGAAGACTTCACCAAAAGATAGACGCTGTGTACCAAGACTCAACAATGTTTTGCCAGTTTCCAGTGGATTTGGGATTTGGGGGGCCATAAACAGCAACATAATTTACAGCAACCTAAAGGATGCTCTGCCTTATACCTGAAGGTTAATCCTGCATATAGTGCTCCTTGCATCAGAGAACATTGAAGTAAACACCCTGTCACTATAAAAAATCCCTTCCCCAGCTTTCACAACATAGGACTTGTCCAGAGGCAGGATTTGGCATCCAATTATTGTGGACTTCAAAACTGCATTTTCTATAGTAGTATTATGTGCATTTGCAAAGCAATGCTCAGATTTTTTAGCAGCCACCATTTTTTCTAGACTACTAAACTAATCTCATTTGCTGTCCCTCAGGTTACGAACAGATGCTATGATTGTCCTGGGATAAATCATTTTATCCCAGGACAAAGTCCAGTTGTTCAGATATCCGTGCCCCTTCTCCCAAGATAAATCCAGAAAAGGTTCACAGGATAAGAAGTATTAGCAGTTTATCTCAGGACACCGCAAAGTACATTTGAGCAGTTTTCCCGAGATTGCACTGCTGAATCAATGACAGAAAAGTGGCTCTGTATTCAGGCATTCATTAAAGCCTGATCGGAAGAGCAATGTCTGTATGCGCCAATCCCAGGATACTTTTGTTCCAGGACAAACACGGCACAACTTCTTTAGGGGCAAATGAAACGTCTGTTCCCAGCCTCAGAGTAATAATTCTATAAGTCCTCAATTATTTTATTTCAGTTATAAAACTGCTTTATGAAGAATTGATTATTTATTTTTGGTCACATTTTTCAAACTTTTAGAGGAGGCAGTGAGAGAATCTTTCTTTTCTTTATGTCTGAAATTGTTAGGTTTCAAATCTGTTGTCTTGAAATAGATATAAAGGATTCTTTTCAGACTCGAGTCTGTCATCCTGGCTGATGTTGCAGAGTATTTTAGTCTGGGAGTAGTCCTATTTACACATGAATGGCCTCATTCTTCAGTTAGCTCCTGCAGAAAAGAAATCCAGTAGTGTGAAGCCAGTTGCAGAACTAGGCCTAAGGTAGGAGCTGGAATGAGTGAGAGTGAGATGTGGCCCTTAGAGCGAGAATGGTGCAGTGGTTAGAGTACTGCACCGGAAACATCGGGTTCAGGGACTGCTATGGCTCAGATGTTTTATTTGGCTTTGGGTAAATCACTTAAAGATTTTCAAGGGCAGTTAGGTGCCCAGTTGCAAAACCTGCTTTGTGAAAATCTTTTCCACCCCTTTAATCTACTTGTGTCTCAGTTCCCCTTCTGTAAAAATGGGAATAATTGCACTTCCTTATTTTTGTGGGGTGTCATAAAGCGAAATACAATTGGACATTGTGAAATGTTCAGGTTTTGTAATAACGAGCACAATATATGTGCCTAAGATTGGCAGGTTATTTCCAAGACGGAAGTACTACCACAGATAACTTCCCAGATATGTCATTACACTTGCTCATGTCTGATTCCAGTCTTAGTCCCACAAAGGCATGCCTGTGGCTCGAGGGGTCGGGGAGGTCCCTCTGCCTCTATCACTTTGTAGGACTGGGCATGCAGCTCGCAAAGTCTTTGCTTTCAGTCAGTACAGAGCCAGGCAGAAAGAACTCAACCATGAATAATTAAAACACAGAGATCTGTGTCGTTGCATTGCTCAGGTCAGCATTTTGTGACTTTTTTTTTGACCGGACAAACTTCAGGTTTGCACAGCAACAAGAACTAGGCATGCCTGTCTTGCAGATTTTAATGTTACAGTGTGCATTTAGTAGCAATGATATCTATAAAAATTGACCTTAAATGAGAGAGTCAAAAAGTGACTATAATCCCCATACAACATATCCAAAGTAGTCTTGATGTTGGAACTTGAATATTTCTCAGTTTCATGGCATTTGGGTCCACGTGAAATTTCAAACTTGTGCCATGCTGTGGTGTCTGCATGTGGACTGTGTGGTTAGAATTTGCTTCCTAACAGGAAGAAAACTTGATTAGTTGCTGGCTAAAAATCCTTTCACTCATGGGTTGGGTTTTTTTGTAGTTAAACCTTTTGCCTAATATAAAACAGGGAAAATATTCAGTCCACAGACTTTTATGAAAAGTGCAAAGTGTGTATGGAAACAGAGAGATACGGTGGAAATGTGTTTTACAAACTCAGGGGCAGACTGTAAAGGTCCCAATCCAGGACTGGGGCTCTTCTGGGACTGCTGCAGTACAAGTAAAAAATGATGATGTGCAGTCTGGGTGAAGGTTGTGATCAAAATGGTCCTTTCTGGCCTTTAAAGTCTGCCCATTTAGGACTTGCCTTTAGTCACCAGCAACCTCTCCAATTACAACAATGCCAGAATGGTTAATAGAAAGACCTTCTGAGCAACAATCCCGATACTCTCAATCTGTTTTCGTAACCTTTCCGGTGTATTCTTTTCATCTCGGCTTTCATGAGCTTGGAATGCTTATTCTCAAAAAAGCTGACTAAATGTAAGTATTCATAATCATGGGATGAGTGTGTCAAGTACAGAAAAAGGCTGACTAATTTTTAATCTCTGTAAGAACTAAATGTGTGTGGATTTTTTCCCTATCACTTAGTTTCTCACATGGTTATTGAGGAAGTAAATTGTATTCAGAACCATCTTGAAATTGAGAAGACATGTCGTGAAAGTGCGGAGGCTTTGGCTACTAAGGTGAGAAGAATGACTGCTTTTGAGCTTATTCTGATTTTTTTTTTTTATGTTGAAAGAATAAAATCAGGGGATAAATCACCTGGTAAGCATAATAGATTCCTGTTTGCCTTCTGTTGAAGTGTAAGTGGTAGTTTTGAGGGAGTTAAAAAATGTAATATGTGAACCTCTAAAATATAATTGCCATTTTTCCTTTTTTTTTTTTTTTTTTTTTTTTTTAAAGAAGTGTCTGTTCAATTATGTTTTTAGAACAGTAATTCATGCAGCGTAACTTTTTATCTATCTGGTTTTGTATGTGTTTGGGTTAAATGGAAAACAACTTTGAAACTATCCCACATGTGACATAAAAGAATAGTGAGCATTTCAGTGTCTGAATTAAATGAAAAAGTCACCCAAAGCATTACATTTCAGGTGATTGTTTATGAAAGCAAAACAAGGGCAGGCAAGAGGTGACCTCCAATGCTCAGTTGATTGCATCTAGTCTGATGAATTTAGCAAGTGTGTAATTTTCTATATTCCATCTCATCAGAAGTGCATTATTATTAAAGAATGTTTTTATCTCCGTGTTATATATTTTTGGTTGTGCAAAATGCATCTAAGCCACTTCATCAGAAAATGGATTACAGCAATTTCGAACCAAATTTCATTAGCAATGCTGGCTGTTTTGTTGTTTTTTCCCCCCTGCCCAAAGTACATCTTTGGATGTGGCAGAAATCACACCGACAAGAAATCTCTTTAATTTAGATGCATTAGCAATGTACTTTCCAGAGGTATTTACTTAATTGTTTGCATAATGACACGATATTAAAATTAATAAGATAGGCAATCAGCACATAACTAAGAAAATGAATTTATTTATGTAACTTCCCTCCCTTTCCATACTTTCTGTAATGTGCATAGAGACATACACAGGCAGCGAAAAGGGTAGTGCTGTCCCAGATTTACTGAATCTGACTTGCTTGTTAATACATGCTGGCTAAACTGCACAAGGTATTTTCTCACTTCCTCAGTTTCATTCTTTGGGAGAGGAACGTATTTGAAGGGGCTCTTTCCACAAGTAAATCTCCCCTTGTTATAGGGAGAGCTTGGCCTGGGTCGGTTGCCCAGTACAGTAACTGTAGGTCTTCCTTTCTAATCCAGGGAAGCAGTATATAGTCCGTTAGGATAGTGTAAGAGTGATGTTGTAGCTCCGATGGACCAGAAATTATGTGAGGGGCAAAGATGTCTTACAATGATAGCTATATAGTTGGTCCAGTAAAAGGTACCACCTTAAGAAACCCTTGCCTCTCACATGTAGTCTTTTAGGGCATTTGTTCAGGTTATACTGCATGCTCTTGATAGAAAATCCAGTGTTCATTGCTGTCAGAGCAGAGATTTTGCTGCAGAGGGGAAACCGTTGGGTGAAGGGAGGTGGGTACAAAAGCATCGTGGTTTTGACCCTTAATGTGTACTAGGTGATCTCTTTTTTTAATTCTTGCTATCTGAGAAATCATCAGTATCAAAATGATCAGAAGCTGATTCTCACATTGTTAGACTGTTGTGGTAAAGGATAGTAGTTGATAAAGTTTTAACAAAAAACAGTATTACAGTAAGCCTGATGATTTGATTTGATTTGATTTGTGCCTATATAGGATGTTCATTAACCAGAAGTACCAGATAGCTCGATTTCTACTCCAAAAAAAAAATGTTTTTAAGTGAACCAGAATGTCTGAGCCAAACTCTGTTAAAGGAGCAAGGGTGCAAACCTTATAGTTTAAGCTTGACAGTCATGTTAGGAGCAGTGTTTTAAAGTGATATTACTGTGTTTGTCTTGCTTTTTGCATGTTTTGATAGATTTTCTTTTAATGACGAAGAAGAAACAGTATGCTTTGATTCTTTCTTTTTATTTATTTATTTTTGGCTACCTTCTTACCTGAACCTCTCAACCTTAAATTATCACTGTGTGCATTTGTCCCTTTTCAGCTAAACAAAGAAAACAAGACCCTAAAAAGAATCAGCATGTTGTATATGGCCAAACTGGGGCCGGATATCATTACTGAAGAAATCAACATTGATGATGATGATCCGTCCACGGAAACGGAAGGCAGCTCTGGTTCGTGCAACTCGCTGCACTGCCAGCAGCAGATAAAAGGTGAGCTGTTCTGTGCAGCATGCTGCGTTGTGCAGGAGAATTGCCATCCTACCAGACATGTGGAAGGGAAAACAAGTCACAGCGCAAACAAGGAGTGGAGTCCTATGTTCGTATGAGAGAGCCGAGGGTTACTACCTTAACGAAGGCCTCAAAGAGCCATGGGGCTCTTCCGGCTGAAAAAGCGCAGGCTCAGGGGTGATCTGATGGCCACCTGTACGTTTATAAGGGGTGTTCACCAGGATCTGGGGGAATGTTTGTTCACCAGAGCGCCCCAAGGGATGACGAGGTCAAACAGTTATAAACTCCTGCAAGACCGTTTCAGGCTGGACATAAAGAAGAATTTCTTTACTGTCTGAGCCCCCAAGGTCTGGAATAGCCTGCCATTGGAGGTAGTTCAAGCACTTACTTTGAACACCTTCAAGAGAAACCTGGATGCTTTTCTTGCTGGGATCCTATGACCCCAGGTGACTTCCTACCCCTGGGGCAGGAGGCTGGACTTGATGATCTTTCAAGGTCCCTTCCAGTCCTAATGTCTATGAAATCTATTAAAAACAGGCATTTATTTCTTCTTGGGAGAGGGAGCAGTACAGGTGCTCTGCCTGCAGCTGCTTCTACTGGCTGGGATCCTGACTTGGGGAAGGTGTGAGGATGAGCAGCTGCTCCAGCCCCCTCCCAAACCAGTCCAGTCCAGTCGAGGACTGGGCCATAGGAGGCCTTTTTCTTGTGGGATAAACTTGATGAATATCTGCACACTAGTGGTTTCTATCAGGAGAGCAGTGGTTCTCCCAGTAGAAAACTAATGCCTGTACATGGCCTAAGGAAACTCTTATCTCAGTCTAGAAAAACAGTAAAATGTCAGTCATTTAACTGAAGGTAGAGATGCTCCCATAGAAAGGTTTAGGTGTTTTGGAAATAGAAGCAAGCCACATTGTACCTCTGCATATTTCCTGCCATGAAAACCTCCATGAGCTCTTCAGCTTTCTATGGGACACTACCAAAATAAACAAGTTAAAAAGGGACTTTTGCACTAGGGTAAGCTGCAAAGCTAAGGGAAGAAAAAGTATATTTATACCAAAGAGGCTGTACTTTATTAATAATGTTTCTGAGCTCTACCCCTTCCCCTTATGAATAAGTGCTTCCCCCCTAGCTTAATTCTGCAGCGAAGTCATCATAGCCCTGTTTATTATAGTGTTATATTGTCTAAGACAGTATCAGTAGAAGATAGGGATAGGTAAAATGGTTCTTTTTTTTTTTAAGGAGCCTTTCCTCTTTCCAATAATAGCTATAGCAGTAACAACAGGGGGTTAGTGGTCCTGAATTTTAAAGCTAGGGACATGCATTCAAAAAACCTGAGCATGAATTGATTCAGTCTTTGTAGGTTAGTCTAACCTGGCTAGGCTGAATCAGTTCGTAACTGCACAGACATCCCAGAAATGCAGGCACATGCCTGAAGTGGCTCAGGCTAGAAGCCGGGGGGGGGGGGGCACTAGAGCATCCCTCCCTTCCCATCTGAAGTGCTGAACTGTGGTGGGTGTGGCCAGGCTCCAGCAGGATGCTCTAATTAGGGAGGGGTTCCCCACCTCCTGACCAGCCCAGCAGGGAATTAATAACACACTGTTTAACACACCTAACTCAGTGTTTATCACCCCATTGAGAAGACAACAGAGGGACATTACCTGCTACCTGATGAATCTGCCTTTGTCCTGTCTGCCACGGGCCATAGCCAGTGTGTGGTCTGCTAGCTAATGCTGTGTGTCTATGTAAGGCAGAGGAAAAGGGGGGTCCCTGCTTAGCATGGAGTGGTGAGGGGATGAGGGGGAGCAGGAGGAAGCCAGGCAGATGCCTACAGTCTCTGCCTGAGCTGCAGCCAGGGAGCAGAGGGGAGGGGCCAGCTCTGCTGTAGAGCAGAGAGCCCCACCTAGCCCAGAGAGTATGCTGGGATGCTGGGGGAGTCTGGTTTAACTTAAACCAGCAAGGGGTCTGGGACAGACGTTGCATAAACTGGTTGGAGCCAAATCAGTTAAGTTTGATACTATATTCAACCAGGTTTATCTCAAACTGGTTTATGTGCACTGAACATCTGTTCTGTTACAGATTCAAACCAGTTTCTGATCACTTAAACCAATTTATGTGTAATGTCTGTCTCTAGCCTGTATCCAGCCTTAACAATTACTCTGAGTTTAAATTGTTGTGGCCACAGTTTAAAATCTATGCCAGGAAAAAGAGGGTGGGTGTAAAAATCAGACTGTCTGCTTTTAAAGCGCGGTACAAACAGTTATCAAATTAATCAGCATAACACCTCTGAGTATTAAGAAAGTATAATTGCCCCCATTCTAGCGATGAGAAAATGGAGTCAGTATTTGAGAGAGTGCTTTGCTCAACACTGGTTGTCACCTGAAGTTGAAACTCAGGCATGCCTGGTACTTTGCCACAGAGCAAGATGCCCTGGATCCAGCTGGAGATTGTGCAGAGAGGGAGAGGGGTCTGCTTGGAGATCAGAGAAGAGTCTCATTGGGTCCTGGGAAGGTGTGGAAGCTGAGGATAGATGGAAGAGAAGAAACCATATCACAGAAGGTTCAACTAAGCATGCACATATTGGGAGCTTGTCTCCTGTGGCTGTTGAAGAATTCATGAGAGAAGGAAATGTGATCTGTTTTACAGAAGCTAGTCCTGAGTTCTGCATGATGCTTTGCCCCTCGCTTGTGCAAGGTGCAACCTCCACAGGCCTCGGATGCCCCTTCTACAACCCTCCCCCCATTCACATGCGCAGACTTATTTATTTAATTATTTGGTTAACACTTTGTGATCCTGGAGTGGAGATTGCTGAGTATCTTAGTTGTAATATTTGCTGCAGTGGGAGAGGATCTACCATACCATTGCTTACAGGGAAGGTGGAATTTTTAAGCAGAACGATGATAATTAGCTCCTGAGGGCAACCTGCAAAAAATGGCCCCAGCCTCCAGCAAACTGCATGTCTAGGCACCTACAGGGAGAATTCAAAGGGGACACATCTTGGGATGCCTGCACGGATGAGAGTGTACACAAGTATCGGTAAAATTGGCCTTTAGTGTTTTGCTCAAGGTGAAAGCTCCTATGTGCATTTTTATATCTCCAAAGGGGCTCCTACTTGAGGCGTGCCCTTAGAAACTACTTTAATATCTCCACCATTAATTAGGTTGCTGTGTGTGGAGGACAGGTAGGGGCCTCTTAAGAGAGGCTTTTTTTTTGTCCTGGAGAATGTGTATAAGGTTTGAGATTCTTCATAGATGCCCTCATCTTATTCTTTTATTAAAGGAACACTACTAACACACTTTCATTCCCTGTTTCTAGTAATGTGTAGTATTACTATGACAGAAAGAGAGTTGAAGGGGGAGGGAGGGCTTTCAGCTCTCCTGAGAAATATGGATTTTCATTTCCACCTAGGAGAAATTTTACAGTCATTGCGCTCTTTTATGTCTGAGGAAGGGTGCGTGTGCCTGAAAGCTTGCAAATAAAGAATTTTTTTTGCAACTGTCTAGTTGGTCTAATAAAAGATGTCATCTCCCCAACAGTTCTGATTACTTGAGAGGGGGATGCTGCATGTCGTGGCGCCTTGTGCATAGCTGGTTTCAGGGTTTTCCGTGGAAGGAGAGTGAATGTGTGATTGTGAAGCCACAGTTGTTATTGGGGTGAGGATGGGAGTGGGGGGAGTCTGACACTTAGTACCTTCAACTGCATTTGACACTCAGGTTTTGTTTTTTTAACTGAGTAGATGTCACACTGATTGTATTTTTTTTAAGGCTAAGCACGGAGCTTCAAAAAACCTGAGGCAAAATCGATTTTTTTTTTCATATTTTTGATTGCGGTTTTTTCTAAGCTGAGTAGAATGAACTGATAACAAACTGAACTGATGTTCGGTGTTTGGATGGCCAAGACGAGCAGAAGCCTGCTCTGGCCCAGGCCACTGCACCCCCCCCCACCCCATGGCGAAGCTGCCTAAGGCTGCTGAACCCAGCTCAGAGGCAGCCCAGGCCTGTTGGCAGCTGGGGTCTGCAGGTTTGGGGGGAAAGCTCCCACTGGGGGTCTTCTCACCTGTTTCTAACTCAGACCTGGGCTGGGATCACCCTACCCCTGCCCTTTCCCCAGCTGTCTGCCTCTGAGAGGTAGGGGGGCAGGTTGCAGGGTTGGGGGTGCATCCCGCCTTCCCCCCAGCTGGGGTCTGCCAAGTGTGATGGGGGAAAGCACCCACTGGTGGGGGGCTTTTCACCTTCTCGCAGCTCAAGCCAGGCTGGGATTGCCCCAGCCCCACCCCCACCCCCTCCAGCTGTCTGGTCAGAGGCAGATGGCTGGGGAAGGAATGGGGCTAGGGCAATCCCAGCCCAGATCAAGCTGGGGGAGGGGGAGGGCAAGAAGCACCTCTGTGGGAGCTTTCCCCCCATGCACCAGGCAGACCTTGGTTGGGGGGGAGCAGTGCGTTCCCACACCCTGCCCCCTTGCCCTAGCCCTCAGAAGTGGATGGCTGGGCAAGGAGTGGGTAAAAAGTGGCTGGCTCAAGTTGCGGGGGGCAGAAAGCCCCCCAGTGAGTGCTTTCCCTTTGTGCTGGGCAGACCTTGCTGAGGGAGTGCGCTCTCACCGTGCTGGCGGAGCGAGGGAGAATGCACTCGCTCCCCCAGCCGGGGTTGGAGGGTGGGATGCCCCTACTGTGGAGCTTTTCCACCCCCCCAGGCAGGCAGCTGAGGATGGGGTGGGATTTCTGTCCCCAGCCCAAAATTAGAGAAAACTGAAACCAGCACAAGACGGAACAAAATGTGCACAACCGTGTTTAGGAGAGAAAGAACAACGTGTGGCAAATGTACACACCTACCCAGGTGCAGAAATTGCCTCTCACCTTTGCGTTGCACATATATACTAGTGGGCTGGACTTAGTCCTGGTCCTCGTAACATCAGCAACCAATTATCTGTTAATTTTATTCGGAAGCAGGTTTGTGCTGATAAGCCTCAATAGCCTGAAATAGTCTGACATCAGACATAAGTTTTCATTTGTTTGTCGTCTTTATGTGCTGAAATTTTCAGGGAGAGTAAAGTTGAGGACAGTATATGAACTAAGAAAAGTTTGAAAAACCCAACATTTCTAGAGACTTTAAACAATGTTATTCACTATTCTGAATATGCAATATCCAGTGTGTGTGTGTATGTGTATAAGTATAGGGGTGTGTGTATATATATGTGTGTGTGTGTGTGTGTATGTGTGTGTATATATATCCAGGATATCTAATGCCTGCAGTCTGCAGTTGCCCAGGAACAGTTTTGGAAGCAAATACTGGTGAATTCAAGAAACTTTAATGGGGATCAAAAAATGAAGGCAGGTGAGTGAGTGAGAGGGGTCAATAAAAACCGGTGCGTACTAATAATTCCCTATTTTTGCCTTTTTTTAGAAAACGCTAAGCAATTATGTTTACCTAAACTTTGATGTTCTTCCATTGTGTATGGAAACTGCTTTCCCATTTATAAGTAACTGGAATCAAATATATTTATTCCATTCTGAATTACTTTACTTCATATTTTGATGATTAAGAAACAAAAATTGAGGGGAAATTACTAGAATGAGCTCTTGTATTGGTAAAGGTTATATTGTGACTCAGTTCAAATAATGTCACCAGGGACATAAGTTGGTAGCTCTTCTGGGTTTTTTTTTCATTGAAATCTTCCAAAGCATTAATTGCCTGTTGTTTGTATATATCTGTTGTATGACCCAAAAGGAATTAAAGTGCTTTAATTTGTTTTAAAGGCAAACCATTAAAAGTGTTTTCCTGCTGCCATGGTTCTGGATCCTGGGGGATGTGAACAATTCCTGAGAAAGGGCTAAGAGCTCAGTATCTGGCAGGACTGGGCCCACAAGAGCCTTGCAGGAAATGAGTTCAGTAAAATGCGAATAAAGTAAAGACAAAAGGATTGGATGAGGGAGGTCACCTTGATAGAATAAATCTGAAACCGTAGCCGTGTAGTAGGTCTGCTATATGACACCTAACTACTGCATTCTCAATAATTTAGGAACCTTGACTACAATTGTTGTTTCGTCTGTGTAGCCAGTGTGTTTCACATTCGATTATATCCTTGTAGGATTGTGCTGCTGCTGTTGTTGTAAGTTAAGATGAAAAATATTTCTTTTCCTCCTGAAAATGTAGAGCTGCGAGATCAAATTATGTCTGGTCATGAAGAAAAGAAGACCTTAGCCATTGAGCTGGAAAACCTGAGATGCAAACTTGTAGAAGTAATTGAAGAAGTATGTATTGTAGCATGGAAGGCGAGACTGCATTAGCATGTTCCATACTACCTGTATCGTCTTGGTTAAAAACAGACAGTGGTGGAGTTAAGCACATACTTTGTAAACCAAAGGTTTGCCAACCTTTTCATGCTGTGAACCACTTAAGACCTGGGACCTGCTATCACAGGTAACTGTGTTGTAAGAGTCTGGTCCTTTCAGGGACCATAGTAAACCCTCTCCACTCCGGAGAGAAGTTGGTTCTCTTTGGATGCCCTGGAGAGGATTCATGTTTGTAGACTAATGCTTGAGAATTGTTGGTTTCGCCATCGGTGAAGCCAAATGGTGGTACTTCCCTGGGTATGCCCTAATTTGAACCATTTGGAGTTACCCACAATGATTATTAAGCAGGTAAAGTGGCTTTTTGAACCAGTGAAGTTTATTCCAGCTTGAAAAATGGGGTAAGCCAGGTACTGATGTAAATCCCAACTTCCTGTCTGTGCTCCACTTAACGTAGAGCATGACACAGCTGACAACTCTTAGACATTAAACAGAAACCAACCCCCTCCCCTGCTAACTGGCAGCCTAGCTCAGTCATTCGAGAGCATTAGCTAGCTGCCCTGGACTCTTCCAGGTTCAGACCTCAAAGATGTGTTTGTAGCCATAATTGATATGGGTCATAACGATGGGCAGTGGAATCCCCCAATGTCTCCCCCAAGAGAGAAAGAATAATGTGTGGCAAAAGCACATGAATACCTGGGTGTAGAAATATTTTACTCAAATAAACCATTTGGCTTCCTAGTAACACTGCATATCAATTTATACCAGGGGTTGGCAACCTTTGCTGCCTTAGGCCAGAGTTTGTGATCCACCGCTGCTGCAGGCTGCAGATTTCTGTCTCCTGGAGCACCCAAGACCCTTGCACTTACCCTTGTTGCCAGTTCCCGGCCCCTCTGCAACAAAGCTAAGTGTAGGCAGGAGGGAGGGCTGCAGAGTCGGCTCTGTGGAGGAGATGGGCAGCATGGAGCAGCTGCCTGCCATCCAATCCCCTGTACTGTGCTGGCCTGGACCTACCTTCTTTGCAGTCTGGATCCAGTCCATGGGTTTAGAACAATTTGATCTGAGCTGGGGCAGCATATAGAAGTGAGGTAAAGATCCCTTATGTCCCTATCAGAACACCACTATCGAAAGAACACGGTTCACGGTTGTTAAGATGCATTATAAATTTAATACCATCAGTGACTGTATCTGTTTGCATCTTTTCAGGTAAATAAAGTAAAGGAAGAAAAAGCTGTTCTGACATCAGAAGTCCATAAACAGCGGAAACTGTTGGAGAAATGTAACAGGGGTCAGTGTCCTCAATAATGCCTGCTTCCCAGGTTACTGTGTTATCTTCAATCTTCAGAGCTTTTGTTGATGTTGTTTTGTGATATATGCCTTCTGTTATAATAGCAGCTACAGGCTTTGAATGCTCATTAGGGCTAAACTGGTTACCAATACATAGTAAATGACAGTCCTTTATCTAGAAGCCTGAATCTTCAAATGGATAAGTCGGGTGAAGCCTGGAAAAAATCGGGATTTAGTGCTCCCATTGTCTAGGTGGACAACAATGACAGAGGTGGAAATTGAGCCTCCATCTTGTGAATCTTGGTCTAGTTTCTTAACCACAAGATCAGCCCTCCTCTTTACTTAGATGCTGTTAATAATTTCAAATACAGTAAAATCTGGTTTATTTATTCACCAAGGCTAATGATGACTAATCCATGAGTGACTAATAATCAGTAGTTTCAACTTCTCATGAGGTGTATTTTGTGTGCCATTTTTGAGACAGGGTAAAGAATGATTTTTGACATCATTTATAATGTAGAAAAGAACAATCTGAGTACAGATTGTAAGAAAAAGATCTGAGTACAAATTGAACACATCCTGGCTTGCTGTATTATCAAAATGGTCTGGTTATACAAATGAATGCTTAATGCACAATTTCTTATTACAAAAATGAAAGGACTATGAGGGAGTTAAATAATCCATCAAAGATTTTTGTTTGCCCCTTTCATGCACCTGTCTTCCTCAGCTTCTGCCTTTTCTTCCCCTTCAGTCTTCTCCAAATCATGTTTCCGCTATCATATGCTGCTAGCTCCCATGGGAAAACAGATCGGTCTTGCCACATTGCTCCAAAATCTTCAAACCGAGGCTGTTGCAGACTAAGCAGTGAGGTGCATTTCAAAGGTCAAGGTGCTCTTGTAAAATGTTGTGTTGGCCTCAGAAAGGAACAGTTAATTTGAGCCTGTCTACTGGCATGCTGACACCTCAAAAGACGCATGCTTTCTGAAAAGTAGCTGGGACTTCATACCACGTGGGGTGGGTTAAAATGTGGCTGCTTTGGAAGAAGTACGTCTCGTCAGCATTCAGAATTATCCTGGTGCCTTGCGCATTTTGCAGGAAATGGTTCCCCCCACTTTGCTTTTTTGCTCTTAAATGAATCCAGCTCAGCATTGAGTTTGGAGACATCAGCTCATGCTGTGGAGTCGTTCACGGGTTGTGCATTTTCCTGACCTTTGTAGGTAGCTCTGCTGTGTGAGCATTAGTCAATGTGAAAGCTCTAACGTAATTAGCAGAATAATAGTCCGAGTAGGCAGACTGTGCTGAAGAAACCTGTGTTAGTATGTGGTGGCCGGTAAAGTAGCTGCTTCTCGCACATTTTTGGCATATCTTCCTGTGCACAATCAAACAAGTAATCCCTCCACCCATATTCAAATGAGGTACTTACAGTATCCTATGGAGTGGTTGAATATCAGCAGAGGAATACCAGCATTGCAGCAACAGGCAGGCAGGGATCAAACTTGCCAATGTATTACAGATATTAATTTGAGTGCTGATGTATTGAGAGTGGAAATGTCCCGTCACTTGAAAAGTCTGTGCTTTTTCCAGAAGAATATATAGGCAGGTAAAAAATAATTTGATCATAGGCTGGCTTATCTACACACTGCATTTGAACGAGAAAAGCCCTGCTGAATATTGATAATGGTACCAGTTTTATAGCATGTTCTTCTGTTACAGAGTGCTAAAAAGGTAAGGTCAATAAATTATGGTGAAGGCTAATGAATTGCCTTAAACCTTAATCCACATCATAGTGACCCTTGCATGGTTTTGCTTTAACAACTGCTCGACTCATCTGCAAAGAGGCTGAGGCTGGTGCATGGAAGTCTGGAAACTAATCCTCGAACAGTATGAGCTGAAGTGCATTGAGAGTTCAGTGTATGCAAGCTGTTGTTAAGAGCGGTTCTTTAAGGGTCTATTGCTTTCATTTGCTATCCAAGATTCAGGTATGCGGGCAAAAGGTACAAGGAAGCCTGCTCTGCACCTGTCGCCTCTGTGCTAGTTTCATCTGCATAGGCACTATGACGTATGGAGGATGAATTGTATTGCTGTTAATTTCTGGAGTTTTCTGTGATCTCAGATATAAGGTGACCCTTTAAGAGTTATTGGTCTGTAGGAACCTTTGGAAAGACGCTGCCTTCTAAAGCATGCAGCCTTCAGAAGAACCCCTAATATGGATGAGATGTTTTAGACCGGGATCGGCAATATTTTTGGGCAGAGTGCCAAAAACACCCACAACCTTGACTTATAGGATGTTGGCGTGCCAGGGGCAGGTGATGGGGGAGCTACGAGGCAGCACAACCCCAGCCCCTTCCCCACCATCTGCCCCTAGGCAGCATGCATGGCAAGCAAAATGCCTTCATGTGCCACACTGGCGCATGTGCTGGGGGTTGCCTACCCCTGTTTTAGACCTATAGGGCTAGATTTTGCCTGGAACAATATGTGCATATTGGGAATAGACCCAATTTGTATCTCAGTGCTGGTTACCCATAAGCTGAGTCTGGGCTTGACAATGGATATAGATGCTGTACATTTGCTTATTCCCTTCTTGGAATAAGTGGATAGGAAGTGGGCAGATCCTTGACTTCACTCTATACACTGGCCAGGACAGTGTGCTAGGAACTTAGCTACTGATATAGGCCAGAAGCAGATTACCAACCTCGTGGTGTAACAGATGAACAGGGAGGAAACTTTGACTTCTGAGTCTCAGGAGGGATGTTTCCAGTTTGAAGCAGCTGCATGTTGCCTCCTTTTTAGCTGCTGTATCACTGAGACACACCAACTTGTCCTATCAAATGGAAATAGTAGTAATAGGATGACCTATACAGAAGTTATCCAGCAGCAAAGCCCAGTTTCTTGTTCCAGTTATTGTATTTCCTTAAACCTGTTAACTTCTCCTTATTGTTGTAGAGTCCAGGTGTGTAAAATCTAACCTACAAGGTGCACAACATTTTCCAATACATAGTGCATGGCACTGTTGTGGACTTCAGCGAGCATTTCCAAAGGGGTGACAAGCAACACACAGCAGCTTGGCTTGAGTGTTAGCAAGCCAAATGACATAGCTACTTGCTCCTGATTATTGTAGTTGTGATGGTGTATTAGAGAGGATGGAGATTGGAGATACTAAATTGGAATCCTAGAAAGAACACAGTATATTGCCCTAAAAGAGAACAAAAAAGTAAGAATTGGTAATTCTCAGGCATCCTTGGAACAACCCCTGTGATAATGAAGAAATTTTTGAAAGCTTACTCCAGCTACAAACCCTTAGTAGCAGTGCCCTAAATGTATTCCTTTATGGGTAGGCCTAATGGAAAAACAAGTGTAACCAAGAGAAGTTAGAGCAGCTTTCGGCATCGATGCCTCTACTGGATGTTTGGAGATGAACAGTTTTGAGACATAAGCTCAGAGCAGGCCTAGCCACTCACAGCTGCACAAGTAGTACAGATAAGGTGGATTTACCTTAACTATGCTTTGAGAATGCTGGCCTATAGGTTCCCAGAACAAACCCAGGTTTGCCAACCCCAAAGCAAAGGTAGTTAAACTTTGACCCATTGTGGCACTTATATAATGAGTGAAACAGCAGCCTATAGAGCAGGTTAAGGGAACTGGCCCAGGATAGGATTGGCTGGCAAAGACTGACCTCTGCCTCTTACACCCCATAGTGTAAAAAATGGATTGGAGTCCAAGCCCTGCCTTGGTTGGCCAGGTGATCTTAGTATCACACAGTATTGCATGCTATCCTCTCTGTAAGCTGAAGACCAGTTTTTTTCTCTTGGAAGAGTGTTTAAAGATGACTTAATGCTCTTCCATAAACTGATAAAAGTACTATATTGTCGGTGCTAATTATTATTTTACTTTTTTTTACCCTTGCTTCAGTTGAACACAAAACCACTTCTAGTGGTCAGGGATCCTGTCCTCTTGCATGTCTGTACAGCACTCAGCATACTAGGGCTCTTGTTCAGGTGACAAATAATTTAAAAAATTCTTGAGGTTTTTTTTGTTTTTTCTGTTTTTAACCTTTCATGCATTAATATTTCCAACCAACAGTATTGCAAGACTGGAGTGCAGGGGGAAAAAGCCAGGAGCTCCAAAGCAGCCAGCTTCCACTAGCTTAATAAAAACTGAGGAAAAGATTTCTGCCACTGGCTTTTATGGTTTGATTTTAACTTGGATATTACAATAATGGGTGCCAGGATAAAACCTGGATTGATGGGCAGAGATGCTTAGAGGAACAGCATTTATGATGTGCAGGAGGGTCTTAATCCATCAATAAGACATGCTGGAAATATGGAAGGAAGTGTCACTTCCCAAAATTCAGAATGAAAGCAACCAACCTTGCACCAAATATTGCCAGTGTTCATGATATCAGTAGTAGCAGTAATGTCCCATCTTTATTAAATAAGTAGTATCCCAAAGTACTTTCCAAACATTGTGAAGTATGGGATGTAAATGTGTGCATGGTGTGGAGGTGTACTAGGACTGTGTGAAGCTTTGGTAGCTGATTCGATTCGGAGGAGATTCGGCCTGATTTGGGGACCAAATCTCCGAATCCAAATTGAATCAGGAGACCAATTAAAAGCTCCGAATTGATTTGAAGTATCCAAATCAATTCGGAAAAGATTCAGTGATTCAGCCATAGACCAAACAGGCAGGTGACACAGCTGCCTCCAGCTGGTAAGTCTGTTGGGGTTGGG